CTAATTCTGATAAGGAAAACCTTTTCCTTACAAATTCATTTCTTCTCCAATCGTTAGAATAGGCATGGGCTTAATGAGATGACAATAAGAGCCTTGAAAACTATTAAGGGAAGATTTCAGGCTTATGTAGGGGTGGTAAAATGGGCCTGACCCATCAGGCATGCCGTTTTGTCTGCACTTTTTGGCGAGGCATTCCAAGATTTAAAGCCCGCACTCTCTAATGTGTCTGCCCCGCAACACCCCATTTTTTCTAGGTTTTTTTGAATGCGGGAGTAAACATAATATTTTTGTATTTTTAGGTTTAAAAGATGTAGTGTCTGCGGGACCATCCCGCCCTGCCCTCCATTTTTTGCAAGGAGGGTCAAGGTTTTAGGCCCGCGTCCATAACTATGCTTGTCCCACCCTGCACCACCCTATTTTTTACGAGCTTCTATACTTGCGGGTCTAAATGTGGCAGACATACCCGTTTACCACTCCTAGGTTTATGTTTGATCAATTTTATTTTTCTCTATGGCTACCTCGAAGCTTTGCTTCCTATTTTGTGACCTTGATCCTTAGAGTTAAGTTTTCATCTCAGTTGGGTGATTTCCAACCTATTTCTCTTGTAGGATCCTTAGACAAGTTAGTATCTAAATTGTTGACAACTAGAGTAAGAGATGTGATGGATAAACTTATTTACTCTATTCAATTGAATTTCTTCAAATATAGTTTATTGGTTTATAGTGTGGTGAAAATTAATGAGGTGGTCGATTTGAAAAAATTAGAGAAAGGCCTCCCTCATTTTTAAGAAAGATTTTGAGCTTTTTTTTTTGGATTACATGCTTATTATATTAGTTTTTAATGATAAGTGGAGAACTTTGATGACACTTGTATTTTTGTAGGAAATCTTACGGTGTTGGTGAATATCTACCAAACTTAGTAGATTAGTATTCAAAGGATTTTAAAACAAGGTGATCATCTAGCTACATTCATTTTCTTGTTAATTGCAGAAGACCTTAGTGGGTTTTTTAGAAGGTTGTTGACTTGAATCTTTTCACTAGTTTTAGGATAGGATCCTCTGATTTGGTGGTTTTCCTTCTTTAGTATGAAAATGATACCTTAATCTTGACCAACTCTTTGGTGGAGAATTTGTAGAGTAGTAAGATAATTTTTAGGGGTTTCAGTTGTCATAAAGTCTTCAACATAATTTTTTTAAGAGAGTAGTATGGTAGGATTTTAAGGACTTAGCCATTGAATTTCTCCACTGTAAGCTTGACTCCCTTCCGGTTATGTACCTTAGACTACTTATGCAGCCTAACCCTCGTCTTAAAGTTACATAGAGATCTCTTGTTAGCATGTTTATTAAGAGACTCCGTTTGTGAAAGCAAGGGTATTAGCCTATGGGCCCGATTGATTTTACTCAATTTTCTGCTTAATGACATTCTTATTTTTTCTTGTCTTTTTTGAAAATTATTGTAATGGCTTGGAAGGAAACAGTTAGGATGCAAAGAAAGTTCCTTTAGGGTGGTGTGAATGGTGACTCAAAGATTTCTTGGATTAAGTGGTCTGATGTTTGTAAACATAAAATTAAATGTGGCTTATGGTGTGTGATCTTAGTTTGGTTAATTTGGCCCATTTGGCCAAATGGTGGCGAAAATTAGTCTCAGGTGCTTCTAACATTTGGTGTGATATCCTTGTAGCTAGGTATGAAGCATCAATTGTTTCTTCCTTTACGGGGGTCGGTCTTTGAATTTTCGTTGAGTCCACTTAGCGAAAAAGGGTGTCTTTTATGGGGTCCAAAGAAAACCATCCATTCGATTGATTTGTGCACAATTTCACTAAGAGAGAGGGTTCATGTCTCCAAACTTATTTATGTGCAGACCCTTGGGTTGGGGACATACTCCTTAAGATTTCGTTCTAGACTTTTTTCCATCTTCAAGCAACTTAAGGGGACTGTGGACTAGGGGTGGCAAAGCGGGCGGCCCGTCCCGTTTAAGCCCATCCAAAAGCGGGGCGGGGCAGACCAACTTAGGCGCCAGAGCTCAAAAGTCAAGCCTACCTCGTTTACTAATGAGTTGGCGGGTGGGAGGGTCGGCCTGTCAATTTTTTAATTTTTTATTTTAGAATTTGATTTACTAAATAATTTCCAAAAAATTTAATCATTACCAAAGAGGTCGACACAAGATTTTCTTAACGACGCGTAATAGAACTTCAACGTGTATTAAGTTCAAATAGTTCAAAAAATAAAATAAATAAAGATCAATTACAACAAAAAAATAACGAAATAAACTCAATCACAATAAAAAATATAAAAAATAAATAAATAAATAAATGATACATATCATCTTAATCATATTTAAAAACTACTAACTACTAAAGAGCTCAATTAAAATTTTACACAAGACAAACAATAATAACAATTATACTGCATAAAACATCAAATGTATAAAATAGTAGTGTATAAAATATCAACACTTGATTTTCTCACCGTTTACATCATATATACTCTTATATTGACTAATTCTTTAATAGTTAAATCCTAAATTTGTCACAACTCACACGTATGCACTAATCAAATTCTTCCTTTTCTTAAACTCAATATCTATTTATAAAAGAAACATGTGAGTTAATGTATTGACAACTTGATAATTCTGCATGTCATACAATTGTTCTTTTATTTCAAGCTTTTCCAATCAACACATGTATTAAAAAGTTATAAAAAGAACGTTGAACTAATAATTGAATTTGTCTGGATAATAATTTAAAATACAATTCAATCAACTTAATCCTAAGAGAAGAGTGTTGTTTTTATAGTTAAATCTATTTTAATTCTATGTAAAAAATAAAAAAGTTTAAACAAAAAACCCGCGGGTAAAATCCGCTCCGCCCCGTCTCGTTCCGCTTTTTAAAGCGGGTTAGGCGGGACAGACCAACTTAAAGTACCAAGCCAAAAACCTCAGTCGAACACGCCAAAAATGACGAGTCAAACAGGTCGATTCGACGGGTCCGACCCGTTTTACTATCCCTATTGTAGATGATATAAGGTTGTTGGTAGCAGGAAAGTTAATTTAAAATCTGACATGGATAAGATCTATTTTTGTTCATAAGCAATCTTTGGTCACCAGTTTTCTTTTTGTTCTCCAAGCGATATGACTCTCATTTAAGATAGAGATTTGTGGTGTTTACGTCATGATATTTAACTTTAAATATTAATTTTTTTAAATTAATTATTTATAAATATTAAAAATTTATTTATATTAATAAATAAATATAAATAAATATTATTATTAAATATTGAACTCTAATTATTTATACTTATTTAATTCAACTAATACATATCGATTGAAACACATCACCCATCCTTTTAAGTTAATTATATAATATACATAAATTAAAAAAAAAATTACAACTACACTATGATGAAATACTTCTTTATTCAATAATCAATTCAATATATATTTCGATAGCCATTTCTTTTATTGATTTTGATAAATTTGAATTTAATATTTTTGAATCGCTGTAAGTAGACGTTTAAAGATTGACTATAAACAAATTCGTTATTTAATGGTGCAACAATAAGTAAATTTTTTTTTTTAAAAAAGAGGTAATGTTGAACATTAAAAAAAGGAGATAAACTTGTAATCGTATTCTTCATGTTTTGGGATTTTTTTTACCATCTTTTTCTTCACCAACTATAAATAAAATAGTTTTCACTTATTTTTTTTATTAAAATACCATTGATTAAGAACATTGATTTATCAACTGTGATATTCATTATGATGTTTTTGTTTAAAATCTTAAAGAAAAAACAATATTATGTTGCTCATATGGTGTTGTAAATCGGTAAAAAATCAGCATGCTAAATAAAAATTCAAATTTTCAAGTGGTGCGATAATCCAAATAAAATACAAAATTATTATAATAAGAATCATATTCTCATCTTCTCTAAATAAAAATTATCATTAAAAAAACTTAACAAATTCATTAGTTCTAAATCATTTATTTCTAAATTAAGAAAATTTTAACTAACCACTAAACTATAACCCATATATCAAAATCAGTATTTTAAAAATCATACTTAATCAATTAATTGGATCTATCAAACTGTGAATTAAAAGGATGGTCAATTTTGCGTGATTTCTAGATTGAGTAAATTTATTGAATAAGTGAAAATCTGTCAGAATTAATCAAAATCAATAAAAATCGATGAGTTGACATAATTAAATTTTTTAGAAATTGTAATTATTTTCATTATTTAATTTATGTTGCAATTATATTTTGAAATTTATTAAGATTGTATTTTGTATTTGTGATGATTATATTTAAGATTTAAATTTAAAGAAATAAACTTGGAAATTATAATATTTTACAATTTTTTACTTTTTTAAAGGACATAGAATCATCCGATTCGACCGAATTAATAATTATATAATTTATTATATATATGTCGATTTATTCAATCAAGTTATTTGACTTATTTATGCGATTCGATTAATAATTTAGTGATTCAACTAATAAATTAAGAACCTTAAAAAAAAATTATATGTAATTTAAAAGAAAATCCAACTTTTATAAAATTAACGATTTGAAAGTGTATTTCCATTAAATCCATAAATTAATAATTTAATATCCTAATTAATTTGACGATGGATCCAATTTTTAAAAAATTCTGGAAACATAAGAAATATATTTGGTATAAGCTTTGAAATGATAGTAAGTAATATGTACTTAGAAAATTAAAATTGAAAACGTTAATATTTAAAAAAAGATTGAAATTTAACAGAAAAAGTGGATATTCAACTAAAAACTTTACAGGCCTTATTATTTCCTCTTTTTCTCTTTTCTTAAACGTTTTTATTTCTCAACCATTAGGAGAGATGGCAGAAGATATGGAGCAGTAGAGAATCCAATTCTTTTTCTAACTTTACACTGATGATGAAATAATCACTCGAATATGCATCTTTATAAGTTTGTGGCAAGGGGTGTAGTTAAAGGCATATGCATTAAAGCAAAAAACAAGAATGGGACTACACATGAATGGGAGCGCTGAAGAAGTAAGCTATGCAAAAAACTCTTCACTTCAGGTATATATACTTATAAATAATGCAACTATATAACTACTATATTATATTTATGCTTTAAGTTTTATGTATTTATTTCTAAATATACAGCGAAAAGTGATATCTGTGACAAAACCTTTGAGAGATGAAGTCATAACTAATTTGTATTGCAACACACTTCCCAAAAGCTTGGCAATTGCAGACTTAGGATGCTCTTCTGGACCAAACACTTTATTAGTGATCTCAGAATTTATCAAGCTCGTGGAAAATCTTTGTCGCAAATTTAATAAAAAATCTCCCGAATATAAAGTCTTTATGAATGATCGATCGGAGAACGACTTCAACAACATATTTATGTCTGTTGACACCTTCAAAGAAACACTAGACCATGAAATGAAAACTCAAATAGGTCCTTGTTACTTCTTTGGGGTTCCTGGTTCCTTTTATGGCAGGATTTTTCCAGATAAAAGTTTGCATTTTATTCATTCCTCTTCCAGTGTTCATTGGCTTTCAAAGGTTAATTTGTTTATCATCATTAGCTATCTTTTCTTATTATTTTTTTGTATTCTATGTATATTTATTTGTTGATTGGGGATTCTTTAGGTTCCAGATGGTGTAGACAACAACAAAGGCAATATTTACCTGTCAAGCACAAGCCCTTCAAATGTCCTCAAGGCTTACTACAAGCAATTTCAAAGAGATTTCTCTCTTTTTCTCGAGTGTCGTGCCCAAGAATTAGTTGAAGGTGGTTCTATGATTCTAACTGTTATAGGGAGAAAAAATGATGATCCATCAATTCAAGAGTCTTGTTGTATTTGGGGTCTCATGGCAATAGTTCTTAATGACATGGTCTTGCAGGTATTTTTTTTACTGTTCGTAATCGTGAGTGCCAGGATTTAAAGTCTAATGATTACGTTTAACTTAATAATATTGACGTTTATCATTTTAGTTGGTTTTTGCGGACAAATTTTGTTTCTTATTATATATACTTGATTACGCTGCAGGGAATCATCGACAAAGAGAAACTCGATACTTTTAACATCCCAACATATTATCCTTCTCCATCTGAAGTGAATATCGAAGTTCTCAAGAAAGGATCATTTGCAATCAATAAACGGGAGATTTTTGAAGTGAATTGGAATGATCTTGATTGCTGGGAAGCTTTGGACATTGGATCTGAAATGTCAAAATCATTCAAAGACAATGGATACAATATGGCACAATGCATCAGGGCTGCGATTGAATCTTTACTAGTTTGTCACTTTGGTGATAGTGTCATTGAAGAGATTTTTGACCGGTATAAAAATATTTTAAATGATCGAATGTCTAAAGAGAGAACCAAGTTCACCTATCTTACCTTATTGCTGACTAGAAAACCATGAACAACAACAATTTGATTGAAGGTTTTATATTTTGAGTTCAAAATAAATTTCAAAATTCTTGTATCATTTTCCTAGCTAGTAATTAATTATGAAATGTAATGATGCAAATTAAAAATAAAAATTTACAAGTATTGTTTAAACGTTTATTAATGAGATTTAGTTCATTGAGTCATCTGATCTTCTCTGAGTCTTTTGTCAGATTAAAATTCCTTACTATATTGTATTTTCTTGCATTGTCTTATATCTGCTTATGTTTTTGAGAATTAAGTTTACGCCCTCTATTTTAGTCTCTTATGAATATTATATTATCATAAAATTTCAATAAATTAAATATTCTATTTTAAAAGAAAATTATAAAGATCGATATATTAATTATTATAAATATTTTCTTTCTAACACTCTCTAACTGATTTTTGCCACTAACTATACACCACAACTCAAGCAAAAGAGGAAAAGAGGTTAACAAAGTAAGAGGCTAGCAAACTTCCAAGCAACCGATGGTAAAAAATTATATAATAATTTATGACAATATCATAAATTTTGTGATACTATTTATTTAAATAAATTTATGAAAATAACTTATGACAATATTCTTCAAATGTTTCTTTCAATTTATTTTCATATATTATTTAAGATAGTTAAACTTTATTTTTGATATTTTAATTTAATGTATAAAATATATTATTGTTTTACAAAGCGACTTAACAAAATTTTTAATAATTCAGAGTTAATATTTTACTTAACAGAATATTATTATTCTAAATATTTGCAATTTAACTTTTCAAGAAAAAGTTTTATAAAATATGTTTTATTTAAATTGAAAACCACCAAATTGATAATTAAGTAGTTAATTAACATAATTTAAATTAAAATATAAATAATCATAAAAAAAGAATGAGAAAAAAGTAACATTGTGATAATTGGATAATGAAAATAATAAATGAATTCAAAAGAAAGAAATGAGGAAAAGAAGCATTACCTTTCTAAGTCATTTTGGATTTTTCACATATATTAAAAAAAATTATATAAAAATAAGTTATTTTAAAATTTTCATACATATTAAAAAGATAATAATTTTTATATCATTAATTATTCATTTGAAGTGTAAAGTGATTTATATTGTAGTACAAATATTTTTTACAAAGCCACTTATAATAAAAAAAAGGAGGGAATAATTGCCATAATCTGCAGCTTGACAATAAGACAGATCGAAGACAGTTTTTATTCAATCCCGCTACTATTTATTTAGTAAAATCAAATTTTTAAAAATAAATGTTTTTTCAAAAATCAAATTAAATTATAAATAATGCAATAAAGCAATCTAAAAAAATTTCATACATACAGTTTAAATATTTTAAATAATAAATAGAATAAAAAAATCAAAATATTAGTCACATATTTAATATTATAAATTATCAAAAATAAATAATAATCTATATAATAAAATAAACGAGACGAGTTCGAAAACGGATTCGAATGGGTACTAGTGTCCCAATTACCTACCCGTCTTCAAATTTTGTAATTGGAAAAAACTCAAATGTGAATTCAAACCAATCAAAACGAATTTTCTCCGTCAATTTCAAGACTGATTCAGATGAATACCCGCAAATACAAATTTTGTTATCATGCTAAGCTTGAATTCAAAATAGATCAAAAACATACCGGAAACATACTCCTCACTGATGAAATAAAGAAATCACAAAAATAAATTAATCCTCCAACACTATATTCGCACCCGCCATATTTTTTCATTTATGCACCTTCAATAACAAGCTTTCTTTTATAATTTAGAATTATACGTGGTATTTCACATGTGTGTTGTTATTACCTTTATATGTTTATTAATTTTTTTTGGATTTTTATGTGTTTATTGGATTTTTCAAAAAAAAAATAGAAAGTTTTTGAAATTTTCACTAAAAATTCACTTATTTCTAGTAAATATTTAAGGAAATACAAGATTTTCAGAAAAATTTGGTAAAACTGCTGATAGTTCATATTTGTTAGGATTTGTTTTTTAATTCTATCGAATTTTTCGAAAAATCCAATAAACTACTACATTTTTTGAAAAATTTAATAAATTACAACACTTTTCAAAAATTTCGATAGCGTTCAATATTTTTTACTTATTGAATATGCAATATCAATTTTTTTAAAAACTCAAAATTATCAAAGAAACCGGATTTACCAAAAAATCTAGTATGTTAAATTTATTTTTCAAAAAAACAAATAAAAATTCATATCAGATTTTAAATAATATACTACCATAATTTTGAAATTTTACCGAAAATTCTCAATGAACTATTGAAAATTTCGTTTGCATATTTTTATTCAATTTTGTCTAGGAATGATTTGAAATTAATGAAATACGTAGGGTGTTAGGTATAAGTTGGAGGTGGTAGGTTCAATCCTTGGATTAAGACGATAACCTACTCTAACCCATATTAAAAGGTACTCTACATTATTAAGAAGGTTGTAACTGATATTATTTATCTCCTTCGAAAGATCACTTCTCTTTATAACATGTCATACTTTTTTTCATGAAGAGACCGTCGTTCTTCACCCAACTTTTGAAATTTCATTTACTTAGACTCTTGAAAATATGAACCATGTCCACTTGAACGACTACGGAAGACAATTCCTTGAGAGAATTAGGAAATTAATCTACTATGGAGATTATTTCACTCCTTAAAATATTGATGATATTTTCTCTTTCTGTCATTAGTGTGGTCATAAGATTTTTCAGCAAAAGACAATACATTGTTGAAACAATAGTTTTTAGAGCATCATTTGAGATATAAGTGTCCTTAGAAAGAAGGAATATGATATCAACATCAAGGGTCATATATAAAGCAAAAACAACCAAATATTACAAAGGAATTCCATCAATGGATGAAGAGTCATTGTTGGTAACCACAACATCAACATTAGAGGTTGTAGCTTTATAAGCAATATTTATTTATGTTGTGGGTCTTATATTTATTCTCTTTTTCCATATTATGTGCACAAGAAAATCATAAGTTGGTTCAAGAATAATAACAACATATTTCAAATATTTCATTAAAATTTTGTTTTGATTGCAAAGTGTTAAGTGGTCATTGTTTGAGATAGAAAGTGACGTGCTTTCTATTCAAATGTAAAAGAAAGTGATGTACTTTATTATTTATGTTAGAAAAGTGTATGAGTGACATTGATGTGAGGTTTGTATAGATTATAACACATTGAAATCCCTCACGGAGTGTGAGGAAACTAGATGTACTCTTGTTTGAAAATGATAACTAGTATATATTTAGTGTCCTTTAATTTTCTGCACTTATTTTAATCACTTTATCATTCATAATAATTTTGGAAAATTAAGAACACATTTCTATCATTCATAAAACAAAAAAAAATTCAAAAAGATTGATTAAGCTAATTCACCCCGCCTCTTAGATTGTGCACTTTTAAACATATTTGGCATCAGAGCAGGTTATAGGTAACTTGTTCCTAAGATCTAGAATGACTTCCGCAAATCCGATTTTTAGAAACGGTGATAGCAATAATAAGTCTTAATTATTTTGTGGTGAATACTTTGATTTTTGTAAAATTCATATGAAGACACATCTCGAAGCACAAGGATAAGAAATTTGGGATGTGATAGAAAATGACCTGTTTGTCCCCACAATTATTGTCAACGTCGTTGGTACGCGCAAAATTAAAAGTTCATGAGATAAAGATGATAAGAAAAAGGTTATCTATAACAAGAAATAAATAAAGTTGCTTCAAGCGCCCCTAAATATGAATGAATTCTTTTGTGTCTCTCAATGCACAACGACAAAAAAATGAGATACGTTAGTAGTCACTCATGAAAAAACTGTTGAAATTAAACGATCAAAACTAAATATTCTATGTCAAGAATATGAGCTTTTCATATATATATATATGAAAATTTCAAAGGAAATTCTTAAAAAATAAATGAGTGGATTTGAAATCTCTCTAGTTGAAACGAATGATTAAATATAATAGGAAAAATAAAATATAATTAAAAAATCACTATTTTATACCATTGTAAATGAATTCATGTCACTTTTATTTATGTTTTAAAATTTGGATCGATCATCGATTCGATCAAGCTATTGAATCACTATGCTATTGGTCAGACTAGTAAATCACTTATTAGACCGTATGACTTCTAATTCATTTTATACCGATTAAAAATATATATTTATAAAATAAATTTTTTAACATAAATTTCACAATTATAAAATCTAAAAATAATCTATGAATTTATACAAAGAATACGATAAAATATATTTTGTGAAAATAGTATTTATAAATGAATAATTTTTTATTTTTTTATGATTTGTAAATTAAAATGAATATAATACAAAGTATGATAAAATATACACATAATACATGTTTATTTCTCTAAAGAATTAAAGAAATATATATTGGTTAGTAAGATTTTATAACATAATGCGGTTTTGTTTGGTTTGGTTCGGTTTGTAAAATACAAACCGCAAACCGAACCAAACCGTGCGGTTCCGCGAGAAAATGACCCAAACACATCCGAACCAAATGCGATTTTTTACGGTTTCGATTTGGTTTGGTTCGGTTTTGCGGTTTTCTATTGGGCCGGTTTGGTTTTGAACACACCTACATTAAACTATAACCCATATATCAAAATCAGTATTTTAAAAATCATACTTAATCAATTAGTTGGATCTATCAAACTGTGAATTAAAAAGGATGGTCGATTTTGCGTGATTTCTAGATTGAGTAAATTTATTGAATAAGTGAAAATCGGTCATAATTAATCAAAATCGATAAAAATCGATGAGTTGACATAATTAAATTTTTTAGAAATTGTAATTATTTTCATTATTTAATTTATGTTGCAATTATATTTTGAAATTTATTAAGATTGTATTTTGTATTTGTGATGATTATATTTAAGATTTAAATTTAAAGAAATAAACTTGGAAATTATAATATTTTATAATTTTTTACTTTTTTAAAGTACAGAGAATCATCCGATTCGACCGATTTAATAATTGTATAATTTATTATATATATGTCGATTTATTCAATCAAGTTATTTGACTTATTTATGCGATTCGATTAATAATTTAGTGGTTCAACTAATAAATTATATGTAATTTAAAAGAAAATCCAACTTTTATAAAATTAACGATTATAATTTCACTGAAAGTGTATTTCCATTAAATCCATAAATTAATAATTTAATATTCTAATTAATTTGACGATGGATCCAATTTTTAAAAAATTCTGGAAACATAAGAAACATATTTGGTATAAGCTTTGAAATGATAGTAAGTAATATGTACTTAGAAAATTAAAATTGAAAACGTTAATATTTAAAAAAAATTGAAATTTAACAGAAAAGTGGATATTCCACTAAAAACTTTACAGGCCTTATTATTTCCTCTTTTTCTCTTTTCTCAACCATTAGGAGAGATGGCAGAAGATATGGAGCAGTAGAGAATCCAATTATTTTTCTAACTTTACACTATGCATCTTTATAAGTTTGTGGCAAGGGGTGTAGTTAAAGGCATATGCATTAAAGCAAAACTAGTTAGAAAGAAAGGTAAAATAAACAAGAATGGGACTACACATGAATGGGAGCGCTGAAGAAGTAAGCTATGCAAAAAACTCTTCACTTCAGGTATATATACTTATAAATAATGCAACTATATAACTACTATATTATATTTACGCTTTAAGTTTTATGTATTTATTTGTAAATATACAGCGAAAAGTGATATCTGTGACAAAACCTTTGACAGATGAAGTCATAACTAATTTATACTGCAACACACTTCCCAAAAGCTTGGCAATTGCAGACTTAGGATGCTCTTCTGGACCAAACACTTTATTACTGATCTCAGAATTTATCAAGCTCGTGGAAAATCTTTGTCGCAAATTTAATAAAAAATCTCCCGAATATAAAGTCTTTATGAATGATCGATCGGAGAACGACTTCAACAGCATATTTATGTCTCTTGACACTTTTAAAGAAACACTAGACCATGAAATGAAAACTCAAATAGGTCCTTGTTACTTCTTTGGGGTTCCTGGTTCCTTTTATGGCAGGATTTTTCCAGATAAAAGTTTGCATTTTATTCATTCCTCTTCCAGTGTTCATTGGCTTTCAAAGGTTAATTTGTTTATCATCATTAGCTATCTTTTCTTATTATTTTTTTGTATTCTATGTATATTTATTTGTTGATTGAGGATTCCTTAGGTTCCAGATGGTGTAGACAACAACAAAGACAATATTTACCTGTCAAGCACAAGCCCTTCAAATGTCCTCAAGGCTTACTACAAGCAATTTCAAAGAGATTTCTCTCTTTTTCTCGAGTGTCGTGCCCAAGAATTAGTTGAAGGTGGCTCTATGATTCTAACTGTTATAGGGAGAAAAAATGATGATCCATCAATTCAAGAGTCTTGTTGCATTTGGGGTCTCATGGCAATAGTTCTTAATGACATGGTCTTGCAGGTATTTTTTTTTACTGTTCGTAATCGTGAGTGCCAGGATTTAAAGTCTTATGATTACGTTCAACTTAACAATATTGACTTTTATCATTTTAGTTGGTTTTTGCGGACAAATTTTGTTTCTTATTATATATACTTGATTACGCTGCAGGGAATCATCGACGAAGAGAAACTCGATACTTTTAACATCCCAACATATTATCCTTCTCCATCTGAAGTGAATATCGAAGTTCTCAAGGAAGGATCATTTGCAATCAATAAACTGGAGATTTTTGAAGTGAATTGGAATGATCTTGATTGCTGGGAAGCTTTGGACATTGGATCTGAAATGTCAAAATCATTCAAAGACAATGGATACAATATGGCACAATGCATCAGGGCTGGGATTGAATCTTTACTAGTTTGTCACTTTGGTGATAGTGTCATTGAAGAGATTTTTGACCGGTATAAAAATATTTTAAATGATCGAATGTCTAAAGAGAGAACCAAATTCACCTATCTTACCTTATTGTTGACTAGAAAATCATGAACAACAACAATTTGATTGAAGGTTTTATATTTTGAGTTCAAAATAAATTTCAAAACTCTTGTATCATTTTCCTAGCTAGTAATTAATTATGAAATGTAATGATGCAAATTAAAAATAAAAACTTACAAGTATTGTTTAAAAGTTTATTAATGAGATTTGGTTCATTGAGTCATCTTCTCTAAGTCTTTTGTCAGATTAAAATTCCTTACTATATTGTATTTTCTTGCATTGTTTTATATTTGCTTATGTTTTTGAGAATTAAGTTTACGTCCTCTCATTTTAGTCTCTTATGAATATTATATTATCATAAAAATTTCAATAAATTAAATATTCTATTTTAAAAAAAAAAAATAAAGATCGATATATTAATTATTATAAATATTTTCTTTCTAACACTCTCTCTAACTGATTTTTGCCACTAACTATAGACCACAACTAAAGCAAAAGAGGAAAAGAGGTTAACAAAGTAAGGGGCTAGCAAACTTCCAAGCAACCGACGGTAAAAAATGGAGAAGAGAATAACAAGAAGCCTAAAAAATTATATAATACATACGGTTTGGAAATAAGTAAGGGTGAGTTAAACTTTGTCAAGTTTGAATCTGTCATATTAAAAATTTTCAAATTTAAGTCTAGTATATATCTTATCATATATTTATTTTTAAGTTTAAATCTAGCCTTTTTGAATGTTTAATTGCCTTACTAATTTATTTAAAAGCCCATTTTATTTAAATATTTGTAAATAAAAAAGTTAGCTAATATTAAATAGATTAATAAATTAAAAGATCAATAAAACTAAATATTTATTTTTATTAACTCATTTGAATTTACCTATTATCATAAATTTTATGATACTATTTATTTAAACGAATTTATAAAAATAACTTATGACAACATTCTTCAAATGTTTCTTTCAATTTATTTTGATATATTATTCAAGATAGCTAAAAATTATTTTTGATATTTTAATTTAATGTATAAAATATATTATTGTTTTACAAAGCGACTTAACAAAATTTTTAATAATTCAGAGTTAATATTTTACTTAACAGAATATTATTATTCTAAATATTTGCAATTTAACTTTTCAAGAAAAAGTTTTATAAAATATGTTTTATTTAAATTGAAAACCACCAAATTGATAATTAAGTGGTTAATTAACATAATTTAAATTAAAATATAATTCATCATAAAAAAAAAAAGAATGAGAAAAAAGTAACATTGTGATAATTGGATAATGGAAAATAATAAATGAATTCAAAAGAATGAAATGAGGAAAAAAAGTATTACCTTTCTAAGTCATTTTAGATTTTTCACATATATTAAAAAGATGATATTTTTTATATCATTAATTATTTATTTGTAGTGTAAAGTGATTTATACTGTAGTACAAATATTTTTTACAAAGCCACTTATAATAAAAAACGGAGGGAATAATTGCCATAATCTGCAGCTAGACAACCGGACGGGTCGATGACAGTTTTTATCTTCCTCAATCCCGCTATCATCTATTTAGTAAAATCAAATTTTTAAATATAAATGTTTTTTCAAAAATCAAATTACATTATAAATAATGAAATAAAACAATCTCAAAAAATTTCATACATACAGTTTAAATATTTTAAATAATAAATAGAAATCAAATAATCAAAACATTGATCACATATTTAATATTATAAATTATCAAAAATAAATAATAATCTATATAATAAAATAAACGAGACGGGTTCGAAAACGGATTCGGATGGGTACTAGTGTCCCAATTACCTACCCGTCTTCAAATTTTGCAATCGGGGAAAACTCAAATCTGAATTCAAACCAATCAAAACGGTTTTTTCTCCGTCAACTTCAAGACGGATTCGGGTGAGTACCCGCGAATACAGATTTTGTTATCATGCTAAGCTTGAATTCAAAATAGATCAAAATAGATCGGAAACATACTCATCACTGATGAAATAAAGAAATCACAAAAATAAATTAATCCTCCAACACTATATTCGCACCTGCCATATTTTTCTATTTATGCACCTTCAATAACAAGCTTTCTTTTATAATTTAGAGTTATACGTGGTATTTCACATGTGTGTTGTTATTGCCTTTATATTTTTATTAATTTTTTTGGATTTTTTATGTGTTTATTGGATTTTTCAAAAAAATATATAGAAAGTTTTTGAAATATTCACTTATTTCTAGTAAATATTTAAAGAAATACAAGATTTTTAGAAAAACTTGGCAAAACTGCTGATAATTCATATTTGTTAGGAATTTTCTTTTAATACTATCGAATTTTTCGAAAAATCCGATAAACTATTATAGTTTTTGAAAAATTTGGTAAATTACAATATTTTTTGAAAATTCCGGTAGTGATCAATATTTTTTTTACTTAATGAATATGAACTACCATTTTTTTTAAAAACCCGGAAAATTATCAAAGAAACCGGATTTATCAAAAAATCCAGTATGTTAAATTTATTTTTCAAAAAAACCAGTAAAAATTCATATCGGACTTTAAAAAATATACTACCATAATTTTGAAATTTTACCGAAAATTCTCAATGAACTATCGAAAATTTCATTTGCATATTTTTATCCAATTTTGTCTAGGGATAATTTGAAATTGATGAAATACGTGGGGTGCTAGGTATAAGCGGGATGTGGCAGGTTAAGTCCTTGGATTAAGATGATGACCTGCTTTAGCCCATATTAAAAGGTACTCAGAAGGTTGTAACTGATGTTATTTGTCTCCTTCGAAGGATCACTTCTCTTTGTAACATGCCCTCCTTTTTTTCATGAAGAGACTGTCGATCTTCACCCAACTTTTGAAATTTCATTTACTTAGACTCTTGAATCTCTTTATCGGCTTCTAACTTTTTAGCGGCCAAAAGCAAGTCCTCTCAATCCTTCTAAAGCATCTCCCCGACCTCTAAAAATTTCACACCGACTTTAGACATAACCTTATTTACTTCATCATGGGTGGCTAGGGGGAAACAGGCATGTTCGTCCCGTTTAGGTCCGCCTCGCAAATGCCCAAAAAAAAAGGACGGGCTTTGTTGAAGGTATGGGCCTAAAACCTCTCTCTACCCCGCAAAAAAATGAGTGTGGAGCGGAGCGGGCCCATGAGCAATGAACATTTTAAGCTTAAAAATTGTAAAATTTCATGTTAATGCTCGTGTCTGCAAAAGCCCACAAAAAACGGGGAGGACATATTAGAGAGTGTGGGCCTAAAACCTTGACCCGCCAGCAAAAAAGTGAAGGGAAAACGGCATGCCTGATGGGCCGAGACCGTTTTGCCACCCCTATGGGTGGCATTATGTTATTGTTTCAAAAGAGTGTACTATGTCCTCAGACTTTCTTCCTATTTCAAAAACTCAATATTAGTAATAAATATTGAAACATTCAAACTGAGGAGCCTTGCCACATAAGGAATAGGGATGTTCAAAATCAAACCGGTCCAATAGAAAATAGCAAAACCAAACCGAATCAAACTGAAATCGTAAAAAACCCCATTTGGTTCGTATGTGATTGAGTCATTTTCTCAGGGAACCGTGTGGATCGGTTCGGTTTATGGTTTGTATTTTACAAACTGAATCAAACCAAACAAAACCAGATTATCTTATAAAATCTTACTAACCAATATATATATTTTTTATTCTTTAGAGAAATCAATATGTATTATGTGTATATTTTATCATACTTTGTATTATATTTATTTTAATTTATAAATCATAAAAAAAAAATATTATTCATTTATAAATACTATTTTTACAGAATATATTTTATCGTATTCTTTGTATAATATTAATTTAATAATGCAATCTTGTCTATATCATTCTATAGATTTAGATAAAATTATAATACGCAATTTTATGTATCAAATTATACACTTATTTTGACAATTATAAATTTTTTATGGTAATGTATGAACAATTAAACACAAAATTATATTTTCCTCTATATTTGTATGTATGGCTTAATAATTTTTTTGTAAAAAACCAAACCAACTGAATCAATCCAAACTGTATTAGTTTGATTTGATTTGGTTTGAATTTATTTTTAAAAGTCAACCGAACCAAATTGAACTGCATGTTTTTTCTCTTCTGGTTCGGGTGATTTTTTGCTTCAAAACCGTCCAAACCACATCGCAAACACCCCTAATAAAAAATACCTTATGCATTGACTTTTTCTTGTAAACCATCAGCTCAAAGTCAAAAATATGAATCATGTCCACTTGAACGACTACTGAAGACAATTTCTTGTGAGAACTAGGAAATTAATCCACTATGGAGATTATTTCCCTCCTTAAAATAATGATGATATTTCCTCTTTTCGACATTAGTGTGGTCATAAGATTTTTTAGCAAAAGACAATACATCGTTGAAACAATAGTTTTTAGAGCATCATTTGAGAGATAAGTGTCCTTAGAAAGAAGGAATATGGTATCTACATCAAGGGTCATATATAAAGCAAAAACAACCAAATATTGCAAAGGAATTTCATCGGTGGATGAAGGATGAAGAGTCATTGTTGGTAACCACAACATCAACATTAGAGGTTGTAGCTTTATAACCAATATTGATTTATCTTGTGGGCCTTATATTTATTCTATTTTTCCATATTATGTGCACAAGAAAATCATAAGTTGGTTCAATAATAATAACAACATATTTCAAATACTTCATTAAAATTTTGTTTTGATTACAAAGTGTTAAGTGGTCATTGTTTGAGATAGAAAGTGACGTGCTTTCTATTCAAGTTTAAAAGAAAGTGGTGTATTTTATTATTTATGTTAGAAAAGTGTATGAGTGATATTGATGTGAGGTTTGTATAGATTATAACATAGTCTCTCACGGGGTGTGAAAAAACTAGATGTACTCTTGTTTGGAAAGGATAACTAGTATACATTTTAGTGTCCTTTAATTTTCTCCACTTATTTTAATCACTTTATCATTCATAATAATTTTGGAAAATTAAGAACACATTGCTATCACTCATAAAACGAAAAA